GCTCGTTGGTGTTGGCCCATCTAAACGACCTGTACAATAGTATGGTAGTCAATGCGTGGCTCTATTTTGGCATGGTATGTGGCAATTTGGACGCAACGCGTTGCACCTCGACGAAATCGAGCCTCAGCCGTTGTGTTTCATAGTGCGGCAAGCAGGAACACGGGGACGCAGAAGGATAGGAAACCTCGAGTTTGCGGCCCGGACAGTAGTGCGGAACGTTGTAGCATCGGCTTTCATCGCAGCCGGGCCGGATGCCGCCGCTACCACGGAATTATACTTGTCTGCCGCGTAATTGCCGAGATTAATTATGTGCGAGATGAAATTCTTGGTCGGTAGAGTGTGACAATCCGCGTGACAGTTCGTCGTCAACCTCTTGCGAACGCAGTTACTCGCTGCGTTGACGAAAGGCTTGAGAAAATAAAAGGGTGACGAAGCATAGATCCGAAAGGAAGACTAATAAAAAGTAGTAACTTCCTTTTCTTCCCTTCTTCATTTTCTCTCAATGATTGTATTCGTTTTGCACGCGTATGTTTGTTTTGTCCAAACAATAAATGGAATGCACAAATTTGATGAAATTAGCGAGTTCATCGTACTAAAATCAATGAATGAATACACAAGTACAATGAAGCTAATGAATTCATCTTGTACAAGCAATAACTGAATACATGTAAGAATTCGTTTTATGCAAATGGACACATGTGAGTGAATTCATTTTGTAGAAACAATGAACGAAATTGATGAATTCATCTTCCACGTGTAAATGAATTCATTCTGTTGATTTTGTAGTGAATGAACAGTATAAGTGTAATGAAATTAATGAATTCATCTTATCGAAACAACAAATGATGAACACATCCAAATGAATTCATTTTACGTAAACAATAAATGAATATATATAACTTCACTTTACACGAGATAATAAATGAATACCTATGAATGTATTCGCTTTACACAAGCAACAGACGAATACATACAAGTATATTTATTTTATACAAGTATCAAGTGAATTCATTTTATACGAGCAGTAAATAAATTCATATAAATACATTTAGTTTATATAAACCGGTTTCGAACCCTGGGACGAGTGCCAAAGTTCAAAAACATTCAACTAATTCGAAATTTTTACGACTAACAGTCGAATCTTGGAAATCAGAATCCTTGGAGGATGCAGCCTAAAAGTGCATAAAATTCGTGTAAAATGAAATTCATATGACGTTTATACTGATGATCAGTACAGAAAAATAGGGACATTTCCGACACACGTTAAAAATCGTCGATTCCCTGGACTAAAAACTGACACTTTCATATTGTTCGATCGTTATCTTCGACGTAGAAAATGACGAAAAGTCAAATCGAAGCGTGGTGGATCGTTGATATTCAATTAATATAAGTACGACAACGTTAACTTCATGAAATATTCAATGCGGGCCCGGAAGAGACGCGTCTCGCGCCGAGAACGAACTTCCGCGTATTCGGTGAATAAATGGCACTACTAATGTTTGAAGGGAAAAAAGGCGGCCACGGTTCCTTCATTGATTTTGCAACGGCAGTGCACGCCATTAATGGTAATGGGAGCGTGGTAAATGGATATGAGATCTTGGTAGTGTTCGAAGGAATGGCCGCGCGCAACCGGGAATATTCGATAATTCGAAAGATGCTGTTAACTTGGCCCCGTTACGAACCGGCCTTGGAACTCTCTCCTGCCTGTAACAGCTCGCAATTCTAAATGAATCCGTGCGATTGTAAGGTGATTTTCGCTCTAATGATCGTGTTGAACGTTCCATATCGTTCAGCTCGAACTGACTGAAAGTACAACGCACTTGCTGCTTTGTCGAAGCAAGGTTCAGTTTAAATGTCCATTGGAAAATGTCGTCGAACTCGCGACATAAAATATATATATATATATATATATATATATATATATATATATATATAT